GACATTCAACGAGCACTAATGCAGATCTACTAACTTTGGACTGAATCATCTAGTTTCATTTTACATTGCTCTACGAAAGTTCTAAGTGTCTATAAGATAAGGAGGATGTAACTATTTGAGAGATTTGGTAACGTACGAGGCTCGTCCACAAAGTACGTTTCCCTGGGGCCGTTTACAGAAACAAAACACAATTTCATGGAAATATTTATTGCAACAGATACAGCAAGTGTCCAGCTATTTTTCAACATATTCGCCACCGGAAGTGAGACATTTGTCATACCGTGGGACCAACTTTTGAATACCTGTGTCGTAGAAGTCGCCCGCCTGGGATTGGAACCACTGTGTGACAACCATCTCCGCCTCTCTGTCATTCTCAAAACGCTGACACTGACCGGACAGGAATTTCTTGAGGTGTAGGAAAAGATGGAAATCACTGGGAGCGAGATCCGGGCTGTAGGGTGAATGATTAAACACCTCCCAGCTGAACTCCTGCAGGAGACTTGCTGTCCGTCGAACCGTGTGCGGCCTAGCGTTATCACTGACCGCACTTCACAGGCGGCGGGAGCTGGAATAAGAACCTCCATCTTCAACAGCCGCAACGATGCTACTGTGAGAACGCTAATTCACACCACTGTAAAAAAAGTTACCACCCACTCTGCAGTCCACATATATTTAGATCACACAAAATCTTAGATGTCAGAGAGAAATATTCTAACATATTATAGAAGTCTCATATCTTAGGAATGTTAGAAATTTCTTAAGACATGTGAATGAGCATTGTATATCTATTTATCTACAGATTAACTCATAAAGCTGCTTGTTTGTAATAATGGAACGTAAAGTTAAATTCTTTTGTTCCAAGAAGTTTAAAAAATAGAATTATACCTCTTAATCTTCCTCAAACCTTAAAAGACTACCATCTGTACCATCTGCTCTATCATTTTTAAATTCATTTAGAATTATTTCTGCCAAACCGTAAATACCTGGTTGACCATACTCATGTCAAATTGAGGTCACGTAAAGATCAAGGTCATATGGAAGTCACGACAAAATCGGCCCAGTAGTTTCCCAGATACGGGTCTTTAATTTTCTCAAGGTCTGTCTGTACTGAGTTCATGAAGATAAAAATTGGTACACACCTGTGGATAAGTTTACCTTCGTGAGAGTCTTAAATCTCTTTTATGAGGTGTTAATGGTTTTCCTCAGTATCGCCTTCTCTGTTCGCCTTTGCAATCACCTCGACGCAGTTCATAAGGCTTCATTAAGTAAGTAATTAAATAAATCGGTTTAATAGTCATTAGTGGGACGCACACATATAACACGTGATAATATAATTATACCCTTTCCTTGACGAATAAAAATAGGTTATAGATATCTTTAAATAAACCGGAAACCTATGAAATTGACACTTCACGTAACGTGATAAATGTATTTCTCTGGTATCAAGACAGTTTTTGTGGCTCTAGAAGAGAAACACGTGACAAGGTGTAACACGCGATACAGGAAACAAAGCCTTGTAAATGTCAGCCAAATAGGATGAAAGAACATTGGTTGGACTTCTTCGTGAAAAGCTTTGTCAGTTAACAGCCATCTACAGCCAGCTAAAGTAACGGAGCAGCCATGTTTAATATATATCAAAGTATATCACGCAAGGAAGATGGAGATAAGGAACTTCAGACAACGGGTCACGATCGATTTTGCACCCATCATCAGCCCAGAAGTTATTATCGACGTCGAAAACGTCCGATGTCGAGAAGAGCCCAATCAGTTTCAGAACTTCAAACTCGCGTTCCTGTTAGTGCGAAGTTGGGGCTCAGGAAACAACGTTCCGTTTCTACGGATGATGAGGAAGGTTCAAGTTTTATAAAAACTGGAATAGTTTCCATACCTGGAGAGAGAACACCTCTTCTTGCCAACAGACTTGACTCTCTAGCGAAATTATTTTCTCGTGTTACATTATCACCAAATGGTACAAATAATCCCAATCCAAGAGGTTCACAAAGGTAAGTTCAATTAAAATTTAATAAGATAGTGTAGTTGCGTCATATTGTGATTTATTAAATTAAAATTAAATTATTTGGTTATTCCGTCAAATCACAATGTATTTAAAATAAGATAATTAAAATAATTAAAATATCATTCTGTGTTCCATATCGAATAATCGATTTACAATTGGAACAGTTACAACATGTTTCGGTTTTATTAAACCATCATCAGGTGTAAAATTATATTAAATTTAAAACTCAATTACAATTATTCACAATTTTTCGTAGTGTAGTTTTTTGGAGGTCGTGTCCAGATATTTTCATATAATGGATCAACTTTATTCTTTGAAGTGATGCTTTTGAGGTTTACATCGGTCAGAGATGAAATAGTAGACAACACAGTTGTGTCTGGAGGTGATCCAGAAGTATTACCGTATCCGATCAAGGTTTATTACTGAATTGTAAAAAATTGTAATTGAGTTTTAAATTTAATATAATTTTACACCTGATGATGGTTTAATAAAACCGAAACATGTTGTAACTGTTCCAATTGTAAATCGATTATTCGATATGGAACAAAGAATGATATTTTAATTATTTTAATTATCTTATTTTAAATACATTGTGATTTGACGGAATAACCAAATAATTTAATTTTAAATGATAAATGTTCGAGAGCTATGATAAATTAATTAACGGCCACGGTAAAATGGGCCTAAAAACATTTTATTTAAATAACTCACCATCGTCACGAACTTTTAGATCTGAGATACCTTTACCATATTCACCAAAGCCCGCAAAAATTTCCTATTCTCTGCCAAATATATCCAGACCACATCATATCATATTTATGTAAGAGCTATTTTAATATTATCCCGACATCTTCGATCTTATCTTCAAGTCTAAATATTCTCGTCATTACCCTGTTCTCACTCCCTTAACGAAGGAGACCAAGTTCTACACCCATACAAAACCAGATCAAATAATTCTTATAGTTAAGTTTTACGTATTTAGGTAGGGGGCGGTAATATTGGAGATTCTGGACTTAACATTAGCGAGCACTCCCTGAATTTAACCGGCTTTTAAAATCTTTCCGAACACAATTTTGAAGAGTCCATCGCCCTGACGATGAAGGCAGCAACGACTTATGAAACGTTGATAAACATCTACCAGTCTACACGGCGCTACAACCCAGAAGACAGAAAGCTTCATACTCATCGCCCTGATGACGGAGGCAGTATGACCTCTGAAACGTTGGCTAACATCGACCAGACTACGCGGCGCAACAACCCAGAAGACGGAAATCTTCATACTCTGATGACGGAGGCAGTATGACCTCTGAAACGTTGGCTAACATCGACCAGACTACGCGGCGCAACAACCCAGAAGACGGAAATCTTCATACTCTGATGACGGAGGCAGTATGACCTCTGAAACGTTGGCTAACATCGACCAGACTACGCGGCGCAACAACCCAGAAGACGGAAATCTTCATACTCTGATGACGGAGGCAGTATGACCTCTGAAACGTTGGCTAACATCGACCAGACTACGCGGCGCAACAACCCAGAAGACGGAAATCTTCATACTCTGATGACGGAGGCAGTATGACCTCTGAAACGTTGGCTAACATCGACCAGACTACGCGGCGCAACAACCCAGAAGACGGAAATCTTCATACTCTGATGACGGAGGCAGTATGACCTCTGAAACGTTGGCTAACATCGACCAGACTACGCGGCGCAACAACCCAGAAGACGGAAATCTTCATACTCTGATGACGGAGGCAGTATGACCTCTGAAACGTTGGCTAACATCGACCAGACTACGCGGCGCAACAACCCAGAAGACGGAAATCTTCATACTCTGATGACGGAGGCAGTATGACCTCTGAAACGTTGGCTAACATCGACCAGACTACGCGGCGCAACAACCCAGAAGACGGAAATCTTCATACTCTGATGACGGAGGCAGTATGACCTCTGAAACGTTGGCTAACATCGACCAGACTACGCGGCGCAACAACCCAGAAGACGGAAATCTTCATACTCACCGCTGTTAGGACCTCAAATCCTACTTAATAACTTCCTAATTTGCTACACGAGGCTTATTTTGCCAGAAGTCCTCTAGAATGGTTGTGAATTACATTTATACGTTAAGTAGAAGGCTGTAATGTTACTCTTAAGGCGAGAGCGTTCTTAATCATAAAATTTTTACAACGGGAGAAAGAATATCTTGAGTCAAATGTGTATATTACCACGTGTCAGAAAAAGTATTACACGTCAGTAGTGGATAATCATTGAACGTAGAAGGATTGTACACAAAGACGTGATAAAATCATAGGAATTGAATATTGACAGAGACTTATAAATATTGATTAGTTTGTGATTGATCACTCTGCTACCTGACACGATGTTTGTAAATGAACACAACAAAGTTTATTGAGATTGAGTGATCATAAGAGACAAAAGGAATAAAGGAAAAATTCTAAAATATTTTTTGATTCAAGGATGAACAAAGCAGACATACTGAATGGTGGATAAACACCAAGGCGAAGTATGTTAACGAACAATGTTTAATAACAAAATTGATTGAAAATTGTTTGAGAAAGATACTTCTGAACGGTTATTGTGAAAAATGTTGATAGACACTCGATATACAGACCAAAAATTCTTTTTAGAAACATTTATTCTGTTGAAACTGTAATTTTTTGACAAAGATGTCAAGCCTTGACAAAGATTTAATTATATGCAGCGACGTGTTTATTGTAATAAGTGGTGAGACAATATAAATAAACGTAAACTAAAAATGAGGATAACGACCTTGCAGGGCTAATGTTCTTTGCATACCGTAGCATTAAGGCGTACTTAGAAATTTTACGATATTTTCGATTTTTAGCGTTCATAAGCAAACCAGTTGGGCGTGTTTATGACGTCAGAAACACTTCAATTTCTTGGCGTCAGAAGATACAAAACATATAATAAAAATATAATGAAAAATACTGAAGGTACTTACTGTCTCCGTCATCAGGGCATCCTCTGAAACGACGGTCAATTTCTACCAGGCTACACGGTGCAGCATCCCAGAAGACAACAATTTTCGTAGTATTTTAAAATCTAAGTGGTTTAGAAGTAACTGAATAAATCTGAAATTTGAAAGAAATTATTAATATGGCTACTGATCATCTAATTGATTTACGTCTTGGAACAGAGCTCTTATTTAAAAATTAATAGTCGCTCAGGTAATAAAATTTCATTTATTTTATGGAACCAGAAATTTAATTCATGTCGAGATCCCGCTTATTAGTAGATAAAATGTTATTGTATTAATATTCCTGGATTTAATATTTAACAGAAACATGATTATACTGATTATTCTATGTTTATTTGCAGTCTACATTAGAATATACTGCACGTTACTTCTATATGTAAAAAGAATTCGAGATTCTTTTTAATTATGTTACAGTTACAACTTATGAATATTTGTATCTTATATGCGTCATGTTTGTGTTTGATTAAATATATTTATTTTGTACAGTCTATACACAAACGCTAAAAAATATAATGTAAAATCGTATTTACGATTAAGAGCGCTAATATAATATTTTACACAACAAAATGTTTTAATATTATATAATTTTTACAACACCAATAAACTTCAAACGTTTGTGTATAGACTGTACAAAATAAATATATTTATGAATATTTGTTATAATTATGATGGACTAACTTTTAGTGTTAAGAATCCAGCCACATATAACGAATTAGGTTTTGAGATTTTCACGGCGGTGAGTGAAGATGGTTGTCTTCTGGGTTACAGCGCCGTGTAGTCTGGTAGTAGTTTACCAAGGCAAAAGGACCTCTGAAACTCTATCAGACTAAACGACGCAGCAACCCAGAAGACAGACATCTTCGTATGTTTAACGAATAACAGAAAACGTGTAGGTTTTCTCTTAAGTATTCAATATTATTTTCTATAACTTCATATATTTCCTCTTGATGTTGTAGATGTTTGTAATTTTCATGTATTGCGTCCGATCACAAATTGAAAACATCATCTATTTTTTCGGGTCAATCTTTTAAGACTCTTCAGATGTTATGGCCGGAGACATACAACGTGAATTCCATGATCGTTGGTCGTAAAACAAATATCCCTGCTATGTTATCGCAAGAAGACAGAATTGAGAGATGTTTTATCAACGTTTGACTTCTGTAATTCATATTTCAACGAAAAAACAAAAAAAAAAACAATGATAATGTCGAGAGATTGGATTTTTGAAAACTTTTGTTTACCTTTGAAACTCGACCAGAAAGCGATGTTAGATGGTAAAGTTTCTGTGTATGTGAGAAAAGTAATTTGTAAGTTGAGATCAAACGTTACATTCAGCTGAGATATAGTGAATAACATTTCTCATCTCGTAGTTTATGTTCAGAAACTGTTTCTTTGTCTCTTAGGTAGTATATTTGCGTCATATTGTGAATTAGGTTAATATTTTAATATTTTCCGTCAAATCACAATTTTAATAAGATAATAAAATATATAAAATATTTAAAATATCATTTCACGTTTAAAAATTTACAAATTGGAACGTTCTAATTTGTAAATCGATCATTCGATACGGAACGTGAAATGATATTTTAAATATTTTATATATTTTATTATCTTATTAAAATTGTGATTTGACGGAAAATATTAAAATATTTGTCTCTTAGGTTATTGTCGACGAAACTGTGACTATGGTCGGGATCGATTACCAATTAACTCCGAGGAATAGAGTAGATAATAGTTGCTAAGCTAATCAAGAAATTTCCTTTATTTTATGGAACCAGGAGGTCTGTTATTCTTACCGGTGAATACAGGTATCTGCTGTACCGACACTAGAAAACCCCTCGAACACAATGGCTCTGATTGTTCGCTGCTCTACCGACACTAGAAAATCCCTCGAACACAATGGCTCTGATTGTTCGCACTGCTTGGGCTGAGGGTCATGTAACCGTCCACATTTACGGATGCATACATGACGGAACACGAGCGGAAGTAGTCGGGATAAACCTCTATGCGAACCTGCTGGTTTCCGGTATACGAAAACCCAAATCAGCATGGTTTCCGAACAGACACGACGTCTCTATACCTAGTGTCCCAACAACTCCTTGGCAACTGTACAAGCTTGTTCCATCAATATCACTGACATTATGTGCTATATATATCGGGTCTGTCGCTACGAGGTTAGAAGACAAGTTGATTTTATTGATAACAATGTGTTCTGGAGGGAAATAATTCAAAGAAGAGAAATTTCAGGGTTTGTTCTAATGTAATCAAGGGGGTGGTTAGGTCAAGGTCATATCAATATCAGGCAAATCCTCTGCCTAGTGGAGGCATTTGAAACTTCAAGGTCATTTAAAGGTCATTAAAATTGCATGAGATTTCTTGCCGAACCGTAGAGGCGATTGTCATTTCGAAGTTAGGTCAATTTCAGGTCAAGGTCATGCCAAGGTCACATCAGTGTCAGGCCAATCGTCTACCTAGTAGAGACAATTGAAATTTCAATGACATAATAAAGAACATGCGATTTCTTAGGCTTGGTTAGGTTAGGTTATGTTAGGTTAGGTTATGTTATGTTAGGTAAGGTTAGGTTAGGTTAGGTTAGGTTATGTTAGGTAAGGTTAGGTACATTAGGTTACGAGAGGTAATGTTATGTTGAGTTATTTTAGGTTAAGTTAGGTTGAATTAGATTAAGATAGGTTAGGTTATGTTGTGTTAGGTTAGGTTGGGTTAGATTAGGTAAGTTAGGTTGTGTTAGGTTGGGTTAGATTAGGTTGGATTATGTTAGGCCATGTTTAGGTCAAGGTCATACCAAGATAACATCAATGTGAAGCCAGTCCTCTGGCTAGTAGAGGCATTTTTAATTTCAAGGTAACAAAAAAAGCATGCGATTTCTTGGCGAAACGTAGGATTGGGAGAGGCGATTGTAAGTCAAGGTTGGGCTCTGAATTGTTGGGCGTGTGGTCCCCATAGTATAAACAATTGTCAATCAAAAAGTTGGTCGAGACGAAGTGAATGTGTTTACATTGATGTAAGATGTGGTAATTGTTTGGTTTTATAGTCACCTAACTTTTGTAGACACATGGACCCTTAACGAGTTAGTTTCCAAAGAATTGGATAAACAAACTTTCTAATTGCATCATTGTTTATCGAACTAAAACGTGAAACATCGCGTTGAAATATTTCTTATTTTCCATCGGCTACTCCATACTACTTACGGAAAATTATTTTCATGTAAGCCACTGATTCTTACTTCATAATGCCTCATAATTCAGCATTCATGATTAATCTTACATCTGGGACTGCATGTAGCGTTGTTTATGTAAGTAAGAAGTTAATCAGTTGATTATATTTTTGTTCTTAGTAGTTTCACAATGTTGGAATTTAATTAAAAAAAGGATGCTGTTAGTGGAATGTGAACTTTATGGAATATTTATTACTATGTATATTTACTGTTCTACATTCTCCCGTCAATTTTGACGGGTAATATAAAAGTTTTAATGCAATTTGTGGTCGTCCTACTTAATATTAAGTACAGTGTAGAAATATAACAATTCTCCTAGCTGCAGGATAGAAACAAATGGAGTTTTTTGGGGGGGGAGAGGGGGACGTTTGTAGGAGTGTTCGTTGCCCCAATACATTATTTAAACTGTGTCTGTTTCTTCCTGAATAAGGGTCATTACTCTCTTTCGTAGTATACATTAATCTCCTCTGCTGTTAGCCTCAAAGCTAAACATACTTTTCGATGGAAAGCTCAGTAACTTAGCTTAAAAACAGTTTAGATAAACATTTGCTATTCTGGTACAATGATACATTTGTTTTTATTTTGTTAATGTGCCATTTTATTGTAGTATTTGGAAGTCCTAACGTAAACCTGTCTTTTACCAGTCAGCGGGAAGTATTTTAGTTCACTCTGAATGACAGGTCAGTGTTGGAAAAGTCTTTTTATTCTCTTAAGTTCTATTTGGTTTAAAACCTAGGAAGTGCAGCTAGATCGTGTGTTCTCTTACAAAATGTGAACAAATTTCAGAAACTTTACATTCTCTACTCTAATTCTGTCTTAGGAGAGATTCGATTTTTTTAATTATTTTTTTAAATAGTGTAGTTGCGTCATATTGTGATTTATTAAATTAAAATTAAATTATTTGGTTATTCCGTTAAATCACAATGTATTTAAAATAAGATAATTAAAATAATTAGCAACCGCATTCAGTCTTAAACCTTGATCGGATACAGTAATACTTCTGAATCACCTCCAGACACAACTGTGTTGTCTACTATTTCATCTCTGGTATGTTTTATTTTACTTTCCTTATAATATTATTTATTTATTTAATTGTTTTCTATATTCATCCATATTCAATAATGTTTCTTTGAATCATTTACTTCGATTATTCGATATGGAACAAAGAATGATATTTTAATTATTTTAATTACCTTATTTTAAATACATTGTGATTTGACGGAATAACCAAATAATTTAATTTTAATTTATTTTTTTTTGTAAATTGCTATAAATTTCATTACAATATTTGCATTTTATTCTTAAGATTTTAATAGTTTTATTACGAAAATCCTTATTTTTAATATAATGAAGACGCTGTATTATATTTGTAATTAATATTTAGAATCTTTTTGCATCTTAAGTGAATCATGTTTGTGTTAAATCAAATACATATATTTATTTTACAGTCTATACACAAACTTATTTAAAATAATGTTGTTAAAATATTATAACATTTACAGTATAAAGTATATTATGTTATAACATAACATATTTTAACAACATTATTTTAAATAAGTTTGTGTATAGACTGTAAAATAAATATATGTATTTAGAATCTTGATGTCAATGCATGGAAATATAATAACGGTATTGAACACGAATTTTATCGTACGAAATATGGCGAAGGTTAATTTCGTTTTTGCAATATTCCATATTATAGACTCGTATTTCTCGAGTCTCAAAAACTGAATAACATCTTAGGGATTTTATTAAATAACCCAGAGAATGAAGTTTATATAGTCCGTGTTCTGTCTTGCATATTTGAATGTATACACGTAGAAGGCAGAGTAAATACATTTCTTTCACTCAGTTGTGTACAAAAAAGTGAAAATATTTGGCGTGTGTGATCTACTTTTCCTTTCTTCGTGATCACCAGTACGGCAGAACAGTTCATCATTCAGGATATTTGTATTCATTCGCCAACAGTTTGTCTCGTTGACGCAGAGAAATTCGTACTAGTCAGAGTTCACGGAGAGTGAAATACAATTGTATCCGCCTTGAGTCAGTCGGCTGTTTTCTTTGCTACATATTATGAAATATTTCAAAAATAAGTTCCTTTTTTATAATACAACTTAGTACTGTGTGATTATTATTTTCGTCTCATAAAAAATGTGTCGTGTCATTGTGGCTATTTCATTATCTCTGCAAGATATATTTTAAGTTATTTTAAACTTTTTTTAATTGTTTTTAAACACAATGTACATTAAAGTTTGGTTTTATAATGATAGCCAAGTGTTGTTAAGTGTAATTCTGAATAAGATATACTAAAGGGAATTTCGTTTCGATGGAAGGAAAATACGAAATTTTGATTAGATTGTGAATTCTGCGAAGATATCAGAATTTACATGTAAAATATGACTGCAGTTTATATTAACCATACCAATGTGATTTTTTTTAATATTATAACATAGTTATCAGTTGATGGGTGTTACCATTTAATTATTAAGGAATTTATCACAATTTGCACACTGGGCATTACAGAAAAGTTATTTGTTCAAACCAATTAATATAATGTAAACTTTTGAATGAATGATATTTAATTATTGTCTCTTAAATTTATATATTTTTTTTAAGGTTTGTGTAAATAAAATCAGAGATTTGATTAGAAGATTTAAAAGAGAAGGGAACAATTTTATATCGAACTTTTATTGGTATTTAACGCCAATGTGAAAAGGACAAATTGTAATGTCTGAAGAGTTGGGCTTATTAAACACGATTAAGTCTGTGTTTAATAAAGTATAAATTAGAACATCCTAAAGTCGAAATTACAGTGTTGCATTATGTTTAAACGGTGTTCTTATAGATAGATCAGAAATAAGACAGTGCGTTACAGACGGTTTAAAGTCAATGAATCCTGTTTAGGCAGAGTGTGTTGATCTCAGAGTCATACAGCACGTGGTCTTGTGTGTGCGTGTATCATGATCGAACCTCCGACGTTAACCAGTCAGACTGGGCCTGTTTATAATTCCCGATGCCCAGGATTTGAATGTGGACATTTTCCTAGGCGTGATCTTCACAGGCCTCTCAGAAAACAGATTTCAGTGACTGTCGATGGTGGGATTAAAAGTAAAAGAAGGATAAAACGAAGTGTGTCATTTTATTTGAGCTGGATTAACGTTTTTCCGTGTTTGTGCAAGTCGGGAAATGTGATCTCAGACGCATCTTGTGACATTGATAATGGGTGAGTGATATATCGTTATGTAATTACAATAATTTTCTTCTAATCTTAGAACAGTTTTGTCGATGTTGGTATTTGTTGAGTTATAACGCCTTGTGGGCGTAATTTTTCTTATTTAGAATGTTTTTGTATTAGATATTGTAGGTGCGTCATATTGTGATTTTATTTAAAAATAGTATTAAAATATATTAAAATTATCCGTCAATCACAATAAAGTAATATAAGATAATTAAATGGTTAAAATATTATCCTTTGTTCCGTATCGAGTACTCGATTTACATATGGAACATTCTCGACATGTTTCGGCTTTCATAGAGTCAATAACCAACCTCGCTCCGATACGATGTACTTCTGATCTCTCCTCTTACAAATTCGATATTACTTCTCTGACCAATATACGCAGCATTAACATCACTCCGACAATACGATTGCATCAATGATATATAACACAACAATAAATGTTGATACAATATACTAGTTTTTGTATTACTAACATACTTCCTATTGGAGGGACTTTGTAGAAAATCTTACAGCCCGACACCCAAATCAAGAAAATTCTTTGCTTTTTATTTGCATAACTCGAATGTTCGTTATAATGTTCACAGAAGCCCACCTTGAGATCCACTCATTATCTTGTCGAGTTGCTTGTTACAGAGGGAAACATTTATTATATTCAGATAAAATACTGTGTGTTCCTTTCCTGTATCAGAGTGTACACAAGTTTTAAATGTTGATAAAATTGATAACTAATTTACTTGTCACCCGTTTCGTTTACATTAAAGGATACACGTACAGAATTCGGTTTCGCTGTCATCATTTGTGTTATTTTGGTCTGCGTGCTGAAGGAAATTATTAGTTTCAATGAAAACAATATCAGTGTCAATCATATGTAAGTTGTGATTACGTTTATGGATCACGAGGCAAAAATTATGACGTGTTGCTATTATGATTGTACGTTTGTTGATAACACCTGTCAGTAACAAGTTATATAGTATTTTTCTTTTATCGAATACCTGTCTTGTTTTCCGTTCATGTCAACATTATAACAGCAGAATGAATAGTTATTTGCAATGCGTATTAACACTGTCTCATGTTTTGCTACCAAAGTTACAAATGATAATAGTTGTCTTGACAACGGTAGTGTTATTTCGTGTTACGTTTAACTTCAACTGTTTCCATAAAGTTCACTAGCATTCAGTAGCTCATTTAATACCCCCCCTCTCTCTCTCTCTGTCGCTTTCAATGTCGTAGTCTTTCTTGAACATTTGAAATTCTCAACTTTTATGAAACACGAAGAATAATCATTTTTAACGAAATTTAAAATAAATTTAGGATACTGTAATCAGGCAATGAACACCTCTGAAACGTCGCTAAAAGTCTTCCAGACTACAAAACGTTACGACCCAGAAGACAAGCCATCTTTTTATTAGCCGTCGTGAAAAAATAAAATTCTAATTCAGGAATCTGTTTTTAAATTGGTAATTGATTGGTTACATCCATCCAATGGCGCTATAGCCCAAGTTCGGGCCTTGGTTTCCTTCGATGTGGGAGGTTTCTTTGTTTTTGAAGTGCCCATCTGTGAATAGAGACAAGCCCACTGCCTCTGCACAGTTTTTTTACTAAATTCTGATTTGTCTGCTAGAGACATCTAGCAGAGAATCATGATAGACATGAATTAGAAATAGCCGCTGAATTTTGTTTACGAAACATTTCGTATAATGTTCGTAAATCTACGTCATGGGACCACCGTCTTTACTTCCCACCCTTAAAAATCCATCTACATAGACCGGGTTTGACTACTGATGCTGAATGTTCGCTTTTTGCTTATTATGGCTTTAGCTTGATATTTGATTAACAGATAAACACAAATTGAAAATTATTTCAGAAAAAATATATAATAAAGATAATTAATTTAAGGACCCACGATAAATGACTGAAGAAGGCGAATATATCACTTAAGATTTCTTATGATTCTGAATCATGTATTCTGATTAATGAGATCTCATTTAAATAAATTATAAATTTAAAATGGTTATGAAATGGGCAATTAATCTGGGACAGGCCATTCAGATAACCAATAGGAAACGAGAAAGAGGAAAAATTAAATAAACATTAATTGTGGTTAAGTAAATTGACGTCAGGTGGCTCACAGTAGAGTCAAATACAAACTGCAGTCCGGTAACCGTTGTGTAAGAGACAGTATTATATACCTAGGATAATACTAAAACTGATATTAAAGAAATATGGTGTGAATTTATGGAGTCGATGCGTCCTAATAAAAAAAGAGATCAGTATTGGAAACTTATGAATACGAAATTAACCATCTGGTTCCATAAAATACAAAAAAATCTTTTTTTATACCTGGGCAACTGTCAGCTTGTGGAAATAACTCTGATACATGGAGTTTAGTCAGCTCATGTGAATTACGTTTGAGAGGTTTTGTCATGTATTACTATCCCCGGTTCAACTCTACTAGGAGACTATTGTTAATGCAAGACGTAACACAGCATACACGCCACGAAGATTTGTATTTTGTTTGGGAACTGAGAAAACAATGTTCTAAACCGGTGACAGTAACTTAGATACTCGGATAAGATGCAATTAATAACTTTCTTTGATTTTCTGTTTCCCATGCGAAGTCTGGGTTTCGCCTGTAACTGGAAACCTGAAGAAGGTATATTTCAGAGTGCCAGGCTATAAATAGGCTATACTAGAACAAGATTAATGGTGGTTTGTCACGTACGAAGTAGTTTACTACAGTAGAAGCTGAAACCAAATACAGACCACAGTAAGAACTCCGATATTCAAACACTTCCTTAAGGTACGGGTGCGATCGGAAAGTGTAAAGACTGTGTCAGTAGAGGGCGAACCGGATGTAGTACGAGCTTCTGCCGCTAGGGGGTGCGGCCTACATTCATAGTGAATCAGTGTGCCAGCCGGCATCATCGAATTAGCATTTGTTTCTTAGTTACGGGCGTTTTGGTAGTGCATTACACCGACCCTCCTGCGATTTCGGAATGGCGGATTTTCATGAACAAATCAAATTTTGCCAAATCGACGTCGTACCATCGACGACTTGTGCGACATTGTTGGGATAGGCTATGGGACCTGTCAGCTGATTCTAAAGGATGAACTCCACATGCGACGCATCCTGTCTGAGGACCAGAAGCAGAATCGACTTCTCGTTTGTCAGGAGTTTAAAGATCTTGCAAGAACCGACCCCAACTTCCTTTCTAAGGTTTCATCTTCCCAAAGATGACAATTCAGCTAAAGGGAAGGAGATTTGAGACAATAGAAGAGATTTAGGCAGAATCGCAGATGGTGCTTGACAGGCTGACAAAGAAAGATTTCCAGGGATGCTTCCAGGCTTGGCAGCGGCGCTGGGATCGTTGTGTTCACTCCCAGGGGATCTAGTTCGAGGGTGATGGATGAATTTAATACCTGAGATAAGTGTACCGGTTTTTATAGGCGCAGTCTTGAAACTCTCCGATCGCACCTCGTATTTCCTTAAATGTTGTCCAAAAACATTATCAGACTGTATTTTGAGTTTGAAAAGTAATTTTAATTTTGAGGTCACCCTCAAAAGTGCTCGGATTTGTGTTAAATCCTTTATATTTCTCTAATAATAGTATTTTATATTGAAACGAAATATTAGGAATATTAAAATGTATTCATGTTCTCACATTTGCTAGAGATAGATTTACAAGTCATTTTTATTATGTAAATGAAAATTCGATAGTCACTGTTTACAGTGTGTGACGTTTACAATGTTTTGTCAATAGTTACAGGAGCCAGCAGACCTTAGTGATTTTGTTACGTCAGAAAATATTATATTTCTGTGGTAATTATTTTAGGTTTTCCTGTTTGTCCAATTAGTAATTCAAAACAAGCTTGTCTGTTAGCAGGTGGATATGTGCTTAGCTACGCTCTTATGAACATGTGGCGTATAATTATATTTAAAATAATGTCTTTCCTTTGGGAGGGACAGCTGTGTATTTGTGCATGTGAATTTACTAATATGTGCCTGCTTGTATCATATATTCACATTGAAAAATAAATTTAAGATGAAGAGATGGGCGGGTTATGTAGCAAAGCATGAGGAACTAAGAAACGCTTGCAAGGTTTTGGTTCGGAAACCTTACGGGAAGAGACCGTATTGAAAACCTAAAGTTGGAATAGAGAATAATATTAAAATATTTCTAAATGAAATACGATGTGGGATTTCGATGGATTCATCTGGCACAGATTAATTTGAACACGGTAATGAAACTCCGTGTTGCACGAAAAGCTAGGAATTTTTTTTAAAATTTAAGAGAGATTCAAGAACTTTGCTACAAAGTGTTATGTCTCAAGATCTGCTAAACCGCATATATTTCTGCTTTAAAATAAGTTTATTATATAATAAACCCTACACTGTTGATAGGGAAAGTTCATCTATAATAATCGTCACTTGTTTTCCCGCAACGAGAAATATACGATAAAGTTGGCAACTCTTCAGCAGTAAAATTGTAGTCTCTTTTAAACAAATCATTCGATTTATTCCAGAAGACAGAAAAGCAATGAGGTCATTTGAAAGTGTATGCTTTTACAACGTCAGGCCAGTGCGTTAATACATAAAAAGGGTAATCTTGCAAAAATATGGCTTACCGAAGTGTGTATATATTACAGGATTAAATATTTAACTTCACAAACTCTGTCTGTGGCCCCGAGCAGGTTAACTCAGTGACTACGCATCTGAGTTTTATTCTGTAAATACCAACTCCACTCACGAATCTCCACGTGTTTCATGTGGTTTACTAAGCCCTTCAATCCCGGTTCATATCATTTTAATAATCTGCTCATGCAATTAGGTCTACTAATGGATTCACGTGGATTAAGATGGATTATGAATTGTCTCTTGTGAACATGGCAATGAACATCCAGGCTGTGAAATAGTCGAGAGACTTTCATGTTCTCAGAGAGTTAATGAAGCATTCGTAGTTTAATAACAAATTTAATT